GAGAAGGGATCGGCTATTATGATGCAGCCTCCTGGAAACCTACATTACTCTGCGCTAAACTACAGAACACATTTTCTTCTAAGTCTTTCAGTAGGGAGAGTATAAAAATGGGGAGGGATACATTTCTATTGCTCATTCTTTTAAAAGAATTTATAGCAACCTGAAAGAAATACACTGTTGAAGCCAGGTGTGGGGGCACATGCCTGTAATCCCTGCACTGGGTAGGCTGAGGCAGAAGGATCACTGTGAGTTCGAGGACAGCCTGTACTACACAGTGAGTTAGGGTCAGCCTGAACTACACAGCAAGGCCTTACCCCCAAAAAATTAAATTAAAATGAATTCTAAAAAATACTGTTGAGACTGAAGCAGGTGGCAAGTTCAAGCCCAGCCTGAATGATTTAGTAAGACCTTCTCTCAAAATTTTAAAAAGACCTACGGATGCAAGTCAGTGCAAAGGCTCTAGGTTGAATGGGGGAAAGGGATGACTATTTAAAGCCTTATAGGGGCTGGGGATTTAGCTCAGGGGCATAAGCACCTGCCTTGTAAGCAGGCAGTCGTGAGTTTGATCCCTGGTACCGACAAAAAAGGAAAAAGACAAAGCCTTATAAATTTAGTGAGAAAAAAAAATCATTGAAAAAAAATTCTAAAGATCAATGAGAAGCTACAGAAAGATGAAACTATGATATAATACACCAAACAGTTTTCTTTTTACTTTTTTCTTTTCTTGGGGGGGAGGGGAGACAGAGTCTCACTATATACTTCAGGTTGGCCTTGAACTCACTATGTAGCCCAAACTGGCCTTGAACTCAGAGATCTTCCTGTCTCAGGCTCCCGTATGTGGCACTGCACTTAGACAGTTTCTTTTTTTTTAAATTCAGAGATCTCCCAAATTGTCCATGACCAAGAAGACAGGGCTTGTCCATGCTTGACCTGGGGCTAACTGGTGTCCTCTATCTTCTGTGCAATCAAATTCTTTGCCACCCCACAAAACTCTGATTTAAAAGAGATACCTGCCTTCCCCTTCACTGATTATTTTGCTCATTTAGGGTTCAGGTCTGGTCACCAAGAGGGACTTTTCAGCAATTAGGTTTCATTTATATGCAAGCCAGACAAACACAGCAGAAGCTCTGAAAATGGCCCTAAAGCCACCCTACTTGCTCTATGATCTCAAGCAAGGAAGCATCTTTCCAAGCATGGCCCAAGTTGTCACCACAAAGCACCAGCCCCCAGCCCAGCTCAGCTCCCCATGAGGCTTCCCATGAAGGACAGGTTACAGGGACTAGGGGTATATAGCTCAGGGGCAGAGCACTTGCCTAGCATGCTCAAGAGCCTGGGTTCAATGCTCAGCACTCAAAAAAGTAAAAAGCCAATGTGTCCCAGCATGTGATAAGACCAGCACAGAGCTGTGTCACTCTATAATGCTTTGTGAATGAATAGAACAGAATGGCATTTTAAAGAAAACAAGAAAGGGAGGAAAAAAACCTGACTTTCAGCAGCAGCTTCTAATCACCTCCCAGCTGGTTCTTCCTCAATCTCTAAGAATCCACCCACCTTCTTCACTTTTAGCTTTAAAAAGTTTCTAGGGCCCTGAGGTAGAGAAAGAGCTTGTACAGCATGCACAAGACCATATTTGAATTCCAGCTGTCAAAAACAGACTCCAGAGTTTCTTATTCCCCTGTGGGGCTGGGGATGTAGCTCAGCAGCAGAGTGTGCTTGGCGTGTGTGAGGCCCTTGGTTCCATCCCCAGCACCACACAAATAAGGACAATAAATAATATATAATAAGCTTACCTCGCCCCTTCTCTATCCCAGCTCTCTCCAGCAACCACCTTCTCTGCCCTTCTCCCTAGTCCCTGCCACAGTGACTCTTATCCCCAGTGCTCAACCCCTGCTTTTCTAACAGCTCCCTCAAGGACTAAATCCAAAACTCTCCCAGGCTTTTCTTTTGTCAACCTCACCTTCCACTAAAGAGACCTCTCAGCTTTCTTCACACCACTCTCCGGGCTCGCCTCTCTCCGTGCTACCTATCCCCCAGAGGACCTGTTAGTCTCTTCAGTTCCAGATCCCTTCACTTGACACCCCTGCTCATCCTCACACTGGTGCTCTCCATGGCTGCATTTCCAGCAAGAAGCTCTCACAGTTACCAGGTCCATGGTCCACTGGGATCACCACTTGCATATCCCACAGGCAACCTCGAATCAGCCTGGCCTTCCACACCAGCCTCCTGGTTCACCACATCTCAGTAACGTGTGACCTGTATCAGACGCTCTGAATTCCTCCTGGCAGTGCCCGCCCCACCGTATCCTACCCCACTAGTCATTCCCATCCTTGCAGGCCCTGCCTGTGCCCGGGCTCCCAGCCTTCCAACCTGCACACTGGGATCCCTACCTTCAGGCTGGCCCCTAGTCTGACTTAGGGTACAAGCTGGTGAGAAGGACAGGTGGTCCCACTGTATTGACAAAGCACTTTAAACTGGCAAGCATCGTTAGCATATATAAAGTAGGAAGGACAAAGATAATGGGCATTACCTGAAGCTAGATCTCCCCAACTTCACCTCGCCAGGCTCCACCATTCCCTCTCTACCATCCCGACCCTCTGACACCTCCACTGGTAAAAAGGTCTTTCTCTGATAAATATCTCACAGATCTTTGACTGCTTTAAACGCTTCCTTAAAATGTGCTGCTTCCTTAGGATGAATGACCCTGAAGTAGTCCCCACTTACACCTCCACACTCCCAGGAGGCTCCTCACCAGCATTCACAATTCCCTTGCTTTTGCCCAAGCTGTTCCCTCTGCCCGAAGTGCTCATCCTTCCCTTCTTCACCTGAGTAACACCCATCTGTCACTCAGTGAGCACTTGTTTTAAATCAAATTGGCTAAGATCACAAATCAGGAAAGATTCAAATGTCAACACCTTTTCTTTTCTCCACACAAAGAACACTCTTTGGACTGGTATGACTTAACTCAGCTATAGCACAATGATCACCACAAGCATCGTTTTCCAAACAGATGCTTCTAATTGTACAGCAGTGATTCATCTTATTTTGCACTCACCCACCACCAGAGAAACACCTAAAAAACACCCAACCATGTGTCCTTTCGTGGCTTCTTTATAATCCACTGCTCCCCATCACTACTAGATCCTCCCCTGGGACTCAAAAAGTAGCCCCACATGAAAAACTGTTCTGGAAAGTTTGGGACAATCATTCCCAAAGGTATTGCTCTATCCTTCCTCATCCACCCTCTGCCAATTCCCCTAGGTGCTGCCAGAGGCCCATAAAGCCATCTGTTCATAGGACAAACAATCTGGATAGGAAACTCAAATCCCCAGACTTGTCAGAGGCCATCAAGCAATTCTGTGGGGTTGGTAGTCAGACCCTGGGGCCCTAGTACCGACATCTAGGGATTCCCAGGCCAAACCTCTTCCATTCTATGGCCTGTGATCCTCTGTCCCAAACGCCACGCATAATTAGAAGTTATAATCCTGTAATTCCATGATGACATCGTTGCACTTAAATATACTTCAAAACAGCTTTTTAAACTTAACTTTCCTTTTTTTTTTCTTTTAAAGCCAAAAACAACTTTAAAAAGTAGCCTTCCCGTTCATCTTCGAATTCTCAGATTCCACTCCGGTCCTACATTTAATGCCCCTCACCAAAGAGCAAAAACCTAAACTGGTCAGTGTCATATAGGAGGAGAAAGATGTCAAGATCACTTAGGAACTGGATGGCTAAGCTTGGGAACAATCAAGAAGTGACTGTCCAGTAGGAAACAGTTTCACTTCCCTATTTATAATTAGGCACTGGGCCTTGGATCCTATCTGCTATAAAAATACCAACCACATCTCTCAACCCACCTAGTCATCATTGGCCAAAGGCTATTTTTAAACTCACCAGGACCTGCAAGGAGGAAGTTGTGGAGGGCGTCACCGTGACTCCTGGCTAGAAAGCATCTTTGCTGGCCCTGCCACCTGTGAGCTTCCCAACACCCCAGCTGACCCTGGTTGAAGACTGCTTGGTGGTGTAATGGAGGTGGGGGGGGGGTCGGTACTGGGCATCGAACGCAAGATCTTTCCACTAAACTGTATCCTCAGCCTCCCTCCTTTTTTGAAACTGGGTCTTGCTAAATCGCTAAATTGCCTAGGCTGTGCTCGAACCTGAGATCCTCCTGCTTCAGCCTTTCAGAATGCTGGGATTACCAGCGTGTGCCACCACTGTGGGCTCCGGCGTCACTGTGGAGGGACTGAGCTGCTCGACCATCAATTACAGAACCGACCGCAGCGGGGTGGGCCGAGCCTGGAGCTCACACTCGGCCGCCTAGTCTCTCAGACAACCAGATAAATCCGCTTCAACCTAAAGTGGGAAGGGGCGAGGCCTCTGCATTCAGGCCCACCAGGGCGACCCTGAACGAGGGGGCGGCGCCCGAGGTCTCTTTCCACAGCTACTGCCTCTGCCCTAAGAAGTCAAACAAACGGACCCTGAAAACAACATTCTGGAGGGAAAAGAAGACAGCCAGCCTGCCTCGAGTGATCTCGAGGGCACAAGCTGGGTTCGGGGCACACGGCGTCGCGAGGGCGCTGGCGCTGCCCGCCCAGGAACCCCCGGCACGCCGCGGACCCCGCCTCCGGGCTCGCACCTGCACGCGGGCGGCCCGGTGCCACCTGCTCCGCGCACCCGGACGCCGCCGCCTCCCGCCCAGCTCCCCCCACCCCAATGCCTCCTCCGGCTGCTCCTCCGACTCCGCCCGGCCGACCAGCGCGCGCCCTCCCCCTCCGGCCGCGCCGACCCGGCCGTGCGCACCGCAGCCCCCTCCTCAGCCCGGGCTGGGGCGGCGGTCCCGGGCCCGAAGCCGCCCACCTTCCGAAAGTAGTCTTCGCCCTCCTTCTCCAGCGGCCGGCCGGCCGCGGGCAGCAGCGCGTCGGTCATGCTAGCGGCAAAGGCGCGCAAGACGGACTGAGGCGCAGGGGCCCCGAGGGCCCGAAACGGCGCCAGACGCCGCCCAGGCCCCGCCCCGGCCCGCCCCCGGCCCGCCCCGGCCCGCGGGTCCGCCGGGGAGCCCCGCAGACCCTGCCCTTCGCTGCCAGAGGCCCGCCCCCGAGCCCCGCCTCCAGTCTTCAGAGACCCGGGGCCGACCCCAAGCCGGAGCCGGGCAGCCCCGAAACGTGGGGCCCTGGGCGCGCCGCTAGCGCCCTCAGCTTTGGGCCTCAGCGGTGGCGACGTTGCTAGCTCAACCCCGTAAGTGCCACGGTGGCGCAGGGAACCGCGCGGGGGGCGCGGGCTAGGGACTCGCCCCTCTCTCTGGCTCCACCGACCCTGCAAAGAGCTTCCCGCAAGAGGGGACCCCTGTGCCACCCTGTGCCATCCCCGCTGCAGAGACTGGGCTGGTCCGCTGGAGGAGGCTGGGAGAAGAGCCACCTGTGGAAGGAACCTCGGGAGAGGTTTTGTGTCGGAGAGACTCGCGGGTGCCCTTGGCGACGTGTCTTAAGCGCCTCTCCAAGTCTCAGTTTTCTCAGCTGCAACGTAGGGCTCGCCTATTTCACCAGCTGGTCGAGGGCATTAGAACAAAGGTGCGTGGTAAAGCTCCTAGTTGAGGCGGAGGGATGGTCTTAGTTGAAGAGAAAAGGGGGGATTTCTGGGGCTGGAGCTGCACCAGTCACACGCGTGCGCACTGGCTGTGGACAGACCCTGGGCCCTGCTGCCCTGCTGGGAGCCTGGGCAGACGCCGGGAAAGCCCAGTCCTGCCACCTGCCTGCCGTTACTACCTTCCCCGCCCCCAATCAGGGACAGGTTTGCGCAGCCGCTACTGCCTTTCGCGGTCGAGGTAGATGTGGCAGGTAAGACACAATCTACATTCAAAGCTATCTAAGCCTTGTCTCTGTACTTTCTTTTTAAAGTGTTCCAGGTGCCTGAGACAGTTTTTAAATAAACAGCGACAACTACCTTGTTAAATACATATATAGGTACATACATAGAAGTTTGGTACACACTTGTAATCCTAGCACTTGGGAGGGTGAGGCAAGAGGATCCCTGGGAGTTGGAAGCAAGTTTGAACTACTCTTTGAGTTCAAGACCAACATGAGCTACATAGAGAGACCTTGTCTCAAAAACTAAAATAAAGTTGAAAATCCACCTTTTACCTGCTGAACCTGTGAAATTTCAAAAGAAAGTTTTCACGCTGTGTGATGCCAATTGCCTGTAATCCCAGCACTTAGGAGGCTGAAGCTGGAGTATGTCAGAGGATTTGAGGCCAGCCTGGAATGCACAGTAAGTCAAGATGCCACAGGAGGAAGAGGAGGAGGAGGAGAATAAGAACAAGAAGAGAGGGGAGGAAGAAAGAAGAAATAAAAAGAAAAAACAAGTGTGTCTTCAGAAAAGACTGTTTAATTCTAAAAAAGAAACTGAAGAGTCCTAACCAGCTCGGTGATAAGACAGGTGTACTTCCAAACAAGCTAGGCTTGATGGCACAAGCCTGTAATTCCAACACTAGAGAGCCTAAATCTTTAGGGATTTGGACTTGGAGGCTAACCCGCTGAATAGGGAGTTCAAAACCAACCTGGAGCTGAGTATGGTGGTGCACACCTGTAATCCCAGCACTCAGGAAGCTGAGTCAGGAGGATTGCCTCCAGTTCAAGGCCACCCTGGGCTATATAGTAGTAAGTTCAACACCAGCCTGAACTATGTAGCAGAACTCTGTCTAGGCAAAAACAAAAAAACCAGCTGGACTACATAGCAAGACCCTGTCTCAAAACAAAATAAAGCCCACTTCTCTTCTGTCTTACCATCAGAAGCAAACATCCAACAAATTTCAACATGCATTGCTCTCCCTGTACTTAATCCACTGCCCCAGAAATGTCCTAGCCCAGGCTGGAAGTTAAAAATAGTCACTTGGGCTCAGCCCTGAGGTGGTGGCTCATTTTATGACAAGTGTAATACTAATAAACTTGTCAATAAGAGAACCCAAACTGTGGCCAGGAAGTTTATGAATATTGTGCTGTATTCTCAAGACCCTCCTGCAAATGAAAGTGGCAACCGCGGTCACCTGTCCAGTGAGGACCCTTGGTCTCAGAGGAGTGACCAAGGGTACACACCCCCTTAGTTCAGGCTGCTAACACCAGCCCCACCCTTTCCCCTTCAAGTCGTTCCACTTCCTTCTATCATCTCCAAGCCTAAAATACCTTTGCAGTTTGTCACATGTACATGTCACTTGTACTATTGCTGATTTAACAGGCTTCTTTAAAATTACTCACCTTGCAGGGAGTAGTGTCACACGCCTGTGATCCCAGCACTTTGGGAGGCTGAAGTAGGCGGACCGTCCAGAGTCTGAGTCCAGTCTGGATTGCATAGTGAGTTTAAGGCCAGCCTGAACTACACGGTGGGATCCTGTCTGAAGAAACAAAACAAACAAACCATATAGGAAAATAAATAATTCACTTTATTTTAACAAATTTTATTTGAAAAGTCAACTATGACATAATCATAAGTGAAAAGACAGTGGTACTTTGCCCTGTGGGGAAAGACACATAAAAGTAAATACAGTGAAGAGCAAAGTCCATTATATAATCTAGCCTGACATCATTGCTTCTTCCGGCTGCTGCTGCTTTTGTTCAAAAGGAAGAGTAAGAAAAGAAAGGTTGTTGTTAAAGACACTGTAGGGGCTGATGCAGGTAGAAATGATCTAGTATGTTATGTGCATATATGCGTCTGTCAGAAGACCCATTAATCTGCATGACTAATATGTACTCATCAAAATAAAGTTTGAAGGGCTGGGTATTTAGCTCAGCAGCATAAGCGCCTGCTTTGCAAGTGTGCAGTCATGAGTTCCATCCCCGGTACCAATTAAAAAAAAAAAGATTTGAAATGACAGGTGTGGTGGTGCACACCTGTAATTCCAGTATTCAGAAGGCTGAGGCAGGAGGATTGCCACAAGTTTGAGACCAGCATGGGCTACATAGTGAGTTCGAGGCCAGCATGAGCTATATAGCAAGATCCTGTCTCAAAAACAAACAAATGATGCTACCCCCTATGCTTGGCTTCTCCTGCACATGGCCATTTCCCTCTCCAGATGAGGGGACTCTTACCAAAGACTAGACAGAGGGCATTCCCCAACACTTGGATTTCAGCCTTTGGAACTGTGAGCTAAATAACCCTCTTTTCTTTATAAAATACCCAAGTATAAAATACTTCAAGCAACAAGAAACAGACTAAACCAATAATCCTTAAGTGAATATAATTCATCGCAGATTATGGATCAAATTTTGCAATTTGTATAAGAAAAAATCTTAGAAATAAACACTTATGATGCCTTTGAGTAACATCAACTAGAGGACCACATCGAGCTCAGTAAGCACTGGATCACCTCATGGCCTTGGTTCTTACAGCCTGGCATGGGGGTGACACTTGTAATTCCAATGCTCTGGGAGGGTGAGGCAAGACAAACACAAGGTTAGGCGTAACCTGGGCAACTTAGGGATTTAATGAGACTCAACTCAAAATTAAAAATACAGAAAGAGCTGGATGTCAACTGTGGTAGAACACACCTGTAATCCTAGCTTGGGAAGCTGAGGCAGGAGAATTGCTGAGTTTGAGGCCAGCCTGGGTTACCTGGTGAGCTTAAGAACAGTCTCAACTACAGAGTTGGACCGTGTCTCAAACAAACAGACAGACAAACAACAAAAAGAGCTGGAGATGTAAGTGCAAAGGCCCTACATTTAATCCCTAGCCCCACAAAGAAAAAGGAAGGAAGGAAGATTGCTTTATGCGTAGCAGTCCTTTAGTGTGTACTCATTCTGTGCCAAGCAGTGTAAGAACTTGGGGTATGATAGCTCAGTGCATTCTCCCACAGCCCTATTAGGTGACTGCTCTATTATTCCCACTTTACAGAGGAGGAAACTGAGACTTCAAGATCGCCAACCTGGTAAGTGGCTGAGTCAGGGCTCACGTGCTACCCTGAACACTATGCCATATACTACACTGTTTCTTGTGATTTAAAAGGAAAAGTATTTACATATGCAGGGAAGAAGTGATTAAAGGTTAAAAATAAGTCAGATAAACCCAGAAGGATGATACGTTCTGCACCTGTAATCTCAGAACCCTGCAGGGTGCTGAAGTAGGAAGACCACATTTCAAGCCCAGCCTGGACAACTTAGCAACTTATCGAGAACTTGCCCTACATTAAAAAATAAAATGGGCTGGAGATGTAGCTCACGGCAAAGGTCCTGGATTTAACCTAATACCGGAAAATAAATTTTTTAAAAAGCAAAGTATGCTGACTGGCACACAGTAAGTACTTTAGGGATTTATACAGACTTTTAAGAATTCATTGAAGTGAGCATCTAGTTCAAGATTATGGCTAAGTATTGATTCATGTCTTGCCTGCTTGTACTTCACTTACAAAAGTGTCATATAGAATATACCTTAGTGCAAAGGCCTTGGATGCAACCACCAAGAAAGAATTTTTAAGTAAAATAAAAGTTGCTGGGCATGGTGGTTCACACTTGCAATTCCAGCATTTGAGTGGCTGACATACAAGGACACTGTGAATTTGAGGCCAGCCTGGTGAGTCAAGGTCAGCCTGAACTACATAGGGAAAGCCTGCCTATAAATAAATAAATAAATATTAAGAAAAGGCAATTTTAATTTAATTTTTTAAAGAAAAAAACAGAAAAATCAAGAAGCAAATAAACCTAAAAAACAATAACAAAGCAAAACGACAACAAGAACAATAATGACAATAAAACCAACAATAACTATATAGGTTTTCAAAACATGAGGATAGGCATTTAACAGTGGTTGTTGTATTGCACATCGTTATCTTCAAAATAGTTGCTCAGGATACCGGAATAAAAAAAAACAGTAAAATGAAACAAAACGTTGAATTTCAAACACAAGACAGAAGGAAATCCCTCACAGTTGCCACATTGCACACTGCTCTCCTCCAAATAGATGCCTGGACCAACAGCCCCAGGTCTACAGAGTCATTCAAACAGTACAAGTATCAAGCTATTCCTTTTTGCCTCAATTGCTATCATCTCACCCTGAGTTCCTCTGAATCAGCCAATTGCTTAGGGAGGGGATTGGGGTGGCTGTGGCAGGGGGATACGCTCTGTGGTTTCCCAGCCCACGCACCAGCGCACTGGAAGGCATGAACTGGCCTCTTGCTGAGTCTCTTCCCATTCCCCATGGCAGACCCTGGCTTACGGGAAGGTGTGGTTCGTCTTCTTGCTGAGGCTTAACACAATTTTTAAAGTGTTCTTTGGCTCAACACGGAGCCTCAAGCATACTAAGCAAGCATTCTACTTCTGTGCCACATCCTCAGCCCCATGGTGATTCTTTAATGAAGTACCTAGAAATTTTTCACTCTTTGAACTACTTGTCTCTAACCCTGAGTCCTTGGAGATGGCTGCTCTGATATTTTAAGCTTCTGGTTTCCAGCTCCTTTTCTGTGAATTCAGTCCGGCAGTTTTCTCTTTTCCAGGTTTCAAAAATTTTAGTTCCCTCTCAGTTTCCTTTTTCATGTTGGAAATTTTCCGTTTCACACTGAGCATGGTGACACACACCTGTAATCCCAGCAGTACGAGAATGAGGCAGGAGGATTGTGAATTTGAGCCAGCCTGGACCACTTATTGAAATACTGTTTTAAAAATAAATAAATAAACAGAAAAGAAAGTCTATTTCTTGATATGCTTATCACTATACAGGTACATGTCCTTCGTGAAAATGCACAGATTGTATGTTTAAGATTTATGCATACACAGTTCTCCATCCCCCCCCTTTTCTTTCATCTTTCTTTCTGCTAAGTGACATTCCCAGACCTTTTAATTTATTTGTTGTTGTTGGTTTTGTCTTTTTTTTTTTTTTGGGTACTGGGGATTGAACTCATGACCTCACACTTGCCAGACAGGTGCTTATGCCACTGAGCTAAATCCCCAGCCCTTGTCTTTTGTTTTGAGACAGAACTCACTACTTCGATTGGGCTGACCTTGAACTGGCTATGTAACCCAGCTGGCCTGAAACTTGTAATCCTCCTGCCTCAGTCTCCTAAGTGTGAGGATTACAGGCATTCATCACTATGCCATTTTATTTCATTTTATTTTATTTCATTTTTATTTACTGTGGAACTAGGGATAGAATTTAAGGCCTTTCACTTAGCTCTATCTATAGCACTTTAAAATTTTTTATTTGCTTTGCTTTTTGAAAGAAGGTCTCACTCTGTAATCTAGGCTGGCCTTGAACTTACTATATATCCCATGCTGACCTCAAACTCACAGCAATCCTCATGCCTCAGCCTCCCAAGTGATGGGATTACAAATGTGCACCACCACACCTGACTTCTTTAATTTTTGAGACAGGGTCTCACTAAGTCACTACATTGCCCAGGCTGGACTCAAACTTGCAGTCTTCTTGCCTGCTGAATTCCAGAATGCTGGGATTCCAGATGTGCCCACCATGCCTGGCACAGAGTGGGTTTCTTTGTGTGTCATGAGTAACCATCCTTCTTCCCAATAATGTGAGGATTCTGAGGAAAAATACTACTCCCCACCCAGGTGATTCAGGCCATCTTCTTTCCTGTAGCCTCCCGATAAAGGGCTTAAATTTGTATCTTCTTGCCCTGTGATTAAGAAAGAAAGCTGTTAGGGTTCCTATTCTGCTATTAATCATAGAATGCCACAGACTGGGCAAACTATAAAGAAAAAGGGTTTGGGGGGGTTTTGTTTTGAGGCAGGGTCTTGCTCTGTAATTCAGGCTGTCATTAATTTCACTATGTAGCCCTGGCCAGCCTCAAACATGAGGTAATCCTCCTGCCTCAGCCTCCCAAGTGGTAGGATTACAGGGGTGCACCACCACACCAGGTAAGAAGTTTCTTCTGGTTTCTATGACCAAGGAGCTGCATCTGGTGATGGCCTTCTTGATAGCAGAATCCCTGAGAAGTGCAAGAGACAGGGAAAGTGCTTGTGTGTCCCCTGGTCTCTCTTTTTATAGAACAGCCAGCATTCAGCAGAGGGATCCACCTGGTGACCTAATCTAGTCCTGTTTAGCTTCTTTAAACACCATGGTCAAATTAAATTTCCACCTGCTGCAGGGTGTGCTGGCCCTTGGGAAGCTGAATCAGGAGGACTGACTGAGTTCAAGGCCAGCCAGGGCCTAGTGAGACCTGCCTCAAAAGAAGTTTCTAGTTGCTTAATAATCTACATGAGCTTGGGGCTGGGGATTTAGTTCGGCAGCATAAGCACCTGCCTGGCAAGCGTGAGGTCATGAGTTCAATACCCAGTACCGAGAAAAAAAAAAATCTACATGAGTTTGAGAGGGGACAAATCGGTTCAAGGACATGTAGCATTTAGGCTGATGCTGTTTTGCATAAAACACATGATGTTTCTAGGTTCCCTCTGCTAAGAATCAGGAGTATTGGGTTGGAGGTGGCCTGGGTCCCAGGTGAAGCGTGCAGTCACTGTTGAGGATGCCTAGCAAATTGCTGACCCACAGTTCCTGGAGAATTTCTGCAAGGACTTTGAGGGGTCTCTGGGCCTCAGTGATCAGTAGTCAAAGGGCTGATTATTACTCTTTTATTAAATGCTCATGATTGTTGGGAATCTAATTAAATAAAACTGAGTAATAAATTTATTGGGTATGTCTTGCCTCTCTGTAAACTATAAGCCATGAGAAAATTAGTTTGAGTAATAACCAAATTTTTATTAAAAATTATGACTTGCAACAAGTGCTCAATGTACAACGTGTAATCCCAGCTCTCTGGAAGGCTGATGCAGGAGGGTTGAAAATTTAAGTCCAGCCCGGGCA